AATTTTAATGGTATACTACAAGAAGGATCTATGAAGCTGATCCTTCAACAGTCAGGCTGGGAGAAGTAACATAGGAACCACACTAGTATTGCTGTGAGCTATTTAGAGCTATTGGACAAGACTTCATGGCAATGCAGAGATTCTCTGCATGTAGTATTAAATTTGATTTGTGTTTGGTTGCTCTTTTATTCCTTAAGACGCCTTACCAGAACCCCCAGAATGGAACACTGTGTTTCTACGGAACTGAAACAGCCTAATCCAGGCTGTTACTTGAGCATTTGGAGAAGTCCAAAGCTAGGACAAACTCTCTAAAAAAATGACTTGTGTTAGTCTATACTCAATAGAGAGTATCATGGTTATTTCTTGAAGGCCCATCAGAAGGTTGCAGTTTGATTAGCTTCACAGTCAACTTCCCCTCTATTTGTCAGTGAGTCCTCATTGCCAGGGCACAGGGACTTTGAAGCAGGCATATCAGACCTAAAAGGCAAATTATTTTTACAGGGTGGTGCCATGAAGATCCTAGACCCACCTCAGGACCTAGGGGACTCCAGTACACTGCGAAAGAGTTATGGACAGAGAAGGCAGCATCTCTTTGTGGGTCACTGAGGAGCAGTGGCAGCAGCCACTGGCTCTGACTAAAGCTCCTGCACTGTGGTTGCTGGGGGAAGCCCACTATTGCTATAATGTGGTGCCGGTCCCTCTGCAAAACATGCTGTCTTGAACCAAGCTGTCCCTGCCCAACTGAGGAGACGAGGCTTGAGGCACAGCCAGTCTGGTAGAGAGCAGAGAGACTGACAGCTCTTGAAATGCCAAGGCTCATGAGAACATCCTTTTGCCTGGCTCCTAGAGAAAGGAGCAAGCAAACTGGACCAGATGCTAAACACTGTTTATAACTGGCAGAAAAGCCTCTGAAAATGCATTTTTGAAAATGTCAGGTATGTACTAATGGCAAAGTGGGCTCCTCTGTGGTCATCCTTTTATTTAAACTGGCCTAAACAGATGCCTCTTCTAAAACAAAGCCTCCAGAAAGCCTTCCCTTGGCTGGGAAAACCCCACCTGTCCTTCTCTTGGTGCTGGAAGACAAAGGAAGACATACTGATGGTCTGGAGTCTTACAGTATATGTATCACATAAAAACATCTGGGTATTTCCAGCCAGCTGACCTAGGCAACTGATGAGGTGCACTGGCACGGCTCCTACTACCATCACATACTAGTTTGCCTCATGACTTCACCTGCAGCAGACTGCAAGCATGTTGGAGCAAAACAATCAGTGGGGCTTTACCATAACTTCTGAAGGCTACAGCTTGGCATCAACAACCCTTTACACAGGTATTCAATGCCTTCATCTCCCAGCTCATTGTTGTTCAGCTTCAGCTCTGTGAGGGATGGATTTGTACTGATGATGGAGGAGAGATCTTCACAATTATTGCTGGAGAGATTGCAGTCATCCAACCTGAAAGAGGAGAGAAGGAGCACTTTAGTCCTCAAGGTTGCTCTGTTCTCCCTGGCTGGAGCACAGCCCATGAAAGCAAAGTGAGCAATTTACACCCCTGCAGTCCCTGGATGCCTCCATAAGTATGTGCATGGCCAGTCGGGCGATGCATGGCCCAAATCTAGATATGCTGTCTCTGAAGGGCTGCAGTACAGCAGAGACTGGACAGCAGATCCCCAGGCCACAAACCTCCGTGCTGTGTAGAAGAGGACACATGATGCAAGTCATTTTGCTTGGCAGGACTTCAGCTGGAGGATGCACCTTCATTTAAGCACGGATAGCAACAAACTACTTGGTGTCTGAAGCCTCTAACCAGAGGCCATCTTACAGGTTGTCAGACTAGTTCTGCCCTGACACCAGCCAAGCTGGGTCTTCAGCCAGCCCCAGAGGCACCCATCAGCAGTTTTGTCTCAGGCAGGTGAGCCACAACAGTCTGCACTGTCTCTCTCCAGCATGACTCTCAGTACACAAACTGCACTGGCTTCTCGCACTGGACTCCTAGTTGTTGCTAAACTGATGGGGGGGAGTTGAATTGGAAGTGGAGCCAAGGAAGGGACTGGGAGCACAGGAAAGCCAGGTAGGTGTGCAGGGAGGCAGAAAAGAGTTGGGACAAAAGGAAGGTGTCAAGCCCTAGGTACAGCCACAGCCAAGACTACCAAGAGTTGCCTGGTCACTTCTCCTTAGACAACACTATGAAAACTGAGGCTCTAACAGGATTCTCCTACCCTCCCTCTGGGAAGAAGACTGGGCTTCCTATATAGCATCATGTTCAACACCAGTTAACAATTCCTGCCAATACTTTAGAAGTCCAAGTGAAGAATTAAAAGCTGTAGCTTGTGCATGACTATTAAGTTAACAGTTACTTGACAGCATCTGACCTGCAGCCCTGAGAGTGTGCAAAGTAATGAGCACAGAGAGATGTCTCCCCTCTCTGGAGGGAAAGGGAGAAAGTGAAAGACAGAATTACAGGCGGTCATCAAAAGTTTAGATAACCACATTACCTGGCTGAGTTCTTCACATGCCTTAGAACAAGGGCAGCATTGCATAATACCAAAGGATGCTTATCTGCAGTTGAAAAACTTTGCAAGTGGATGGTTCCCCCCCTTCCCATTTAAATTAACTTTCTGGATAAAAATAGGAAGAAAAATTACTGGGCAATTTCCAAGTCACACTTCAGCAGTTCTGCAGCTGAAGAAAACAGGAGAGAAACACAATAGTCCTTACTTAGAAGAGATAATATGCAACTAGTTACTACCTGATGGTTTTGCAGGATTTCATTGTGGACAGAAGTTCAGCCCATCTAGATGGGCTCATCTCCTCACACTGGATGTCAAGCTCCATTTTAACAGCTGAGATAAGACCTGAAAATAAATCAAAAAAAAAAAAAAATTAAATCAAAACTTATTTTTCATTGTCTGAGAAGCATCAATCCTCTTCAACCCCCAGCTCTCGGCCACTGCATAAGAGGGCAGACTGTGTTTTTCCAACACCAGCCTGCTGCAAGCACTAGTAGGAGCCAGCAGCACTGGAGTGGTTTTGTCTGGGGCTCAGCAAGGCCCTCTCCTGAGAGGCAAAATGTACACGGATCCCAGAGAAATATGGCAACAGCTTATTATCTAAAGGCTTCTGGTGAGAGAATAAGACACTCCCCTTCCCTCTCCAAGGGAGCTTAACCAGAATGCACATTTTAGAGGTACTGGTGCTGTTTGCTCACTATTACACTACTGAGCCACACAGCCACTATTACCAGTGTGGCGTATCTGACTGGTTGCGGGACCTTGAGCTATACCTAAAATTAGGGTATTTCTGAGAGAACAAGGAAGATGAGCTGGAGAACTGCCTGGGCTTGGATTAAAACCCCTGGTGGCCACACATCTTTATGTGAGAGGTGGAACCGAGGCAGATGAGAGAAGCGCTCCTCCACGATCTGACAGCCAAACTTTGAAAAGTCACTCTGGTTGCGTAGGTACAGAGAAACTGACAAGCAGCACTTTTTTGTTTACTCTGAAGTTAAACTGCATTTCTGAACTGAGGTAAACACAGCGCTTTGCAGAGCAGCTCCAGATAGCTGAGCTCTAGGCTGAGTTGACAAGGGATAGCATTAAAGGCAGTGCTCCAGCGGGTGACAAAATGCAGTCTTGGTGTCTTGGCTGTGCTAACGTGACTCAGACTACGGGATATTTGTATATTTAAAGAAAAAAAAAAAAGTCTCCTGAGCTATCACATCAGAATGTGAACAGCAAAAAAAAAAAAAACCCACCAAGGCGTTACTGGCTGCATTTCATCACTCTCTTCCCCACCTCAGTCATCTCCTGCTACCATAAAATGAAGGCTATCCCAAACTAGGCTTTTCACAGACATAAGCTTGGTATCAGAGCACACACCATGTTTCATCCACAACAAATCCCACATCCATGTGGGGAGGTGAACTGCCACGAGAGCAGGGATGCACTGAGGCCATATTCCTAAAACACAAGAAGGAAACCAGGACACCGAGGCCAGTGTTAGCAGAGCTCGTGTATTCTTGGCCTCTCCTCTTTCAAACCCTCAGCGGAACGCTGCTGGACATCACGGACACATCCTCGGTGGGTTCACAACACAACCCCACGTGTAAAGAGGGTTGTTGTGTTTAAAATCAGCGCTGATCCAAACCCGTGTGAAGAAGTGAGAGAACAGCGCACAGTTACACTATTTAGCAAACGCCTCCCAGGGGATACAGGAGCTTGCTCTATTACCCCTGGTTTACCACCCTCAGACAAAACAAGAGTTTGGGGTTTTTCCCCCTCGCGAAGCCCTGCACCTTCCCGTAAGCCGAGGAACGGGTGACCCGCATCTCCGAGCACAGGCTCGGTCCTACCCAGGCGGGCACATCAGCCATCGCGGCTGTTCCGGGCCTCTTGCTGCAGGCAGAGAGCTGCCCTCCCTGCTCACTGCGCTTCTTCCCCCCCCCGTGTTTCTCGCACGGCAGCTACCACCGGAGCGGCCCCACGTAGGAGCTTCCACCTCCCTTCCCGCAGGCCCCTACTCCCACCCCTCCCGCAGCTCCTACCGCAGCTCTTCCTGCCCCGCACCGCGCAGCCGCCGACGCCCGCCCCGGTCCCGCCCCACGGGGCGCGGGCTGCAGCGCGGAGCCGAGCTGATCGGGGAGGCGGGGAGTACAGCAGTACAGCAGGCGTCCCGTTCTGCCCTCTTCCTCCTCTCCCCTTTCCCACTTTCTCTCCTTTTCCTTCCTCCTTTCCTTTTTTTTTTTCCTGCCTTCTTTGCCATTTCTGCTCCTTTCCCTTCTCTTTCTCCCTTCTTACCTTTACCTTTCTTCCCTTTTCCTTGTCGTCTTCTCGCTTCCCTCTCTCCTCTTTCCACCTATTTTTTCCCCTTTCCCCTCTTTTTTTTCTCCTTTTCCACATTCCCTCCTCATCTTTTTCCTCTATATACTCTTGCCTCTTTTTCCCGTTTTCCTCACTTCCTTCTCCCTTTTTTTGTTTTCACCTTCTCCATTATATTTTTTTGTGCTTTTCCCATTTCCTTCTTTTTCTTCTTTCTCCTTTTTCCGTTTTCTCCCTCCTCCCCTCCCTTTTTCTTTCCTCTTTTTCTTCCTTTCCTCCCCTTTATTCCTTCCTTCCCTCTTTCCTGTGCTTTCCTCTTTTCCATGTTTTGTCTCTCTTTCCTGCTCCCTTCGTTTTTTTTTCCACCCCTTCTGCCCTCCTTTTTCTCCCTTTCTCTCCTCTTTGCCTATTTATCCCCTCTTTTTAAACTTCTTCCCCACTTCCCTCTCTTTCTCTTCTATTTCCTCCCTTTCTGTTTCTCCTCTTCCCTTTTTCCCATCCACCCCTATCTCACACCACAGCAGGAGCACTGGGATATTCAGGAGAAAAAAAAAAAAACAGGAGAGGGGGAAATCCCTGTAAGTGAAGGGGTGCAAAAGGGATAGGAGGATCAAATGTTAAATGGGAAGGTGTCCCACCAGGGCTGGGAGGGCAGCCTTTGCTGGGATCCAGAGTGTAATGGGGATGCACGCAGGTCACCCAGGGGAGAGGCAACATGGGGGAAAGCCTTGGCCAGGGGAGACAGGACCTCCCTTGTACTTGTCCGGGGAGTTCAGAACCGGGAATAACAACAAAGTTGTCTCCCTGACTTCCAGCTTGCCAGATAGCAGCTTGGAGGGCCTGGGATGTTTCTCCCGTCCATCCCTCACCAGTCCTATCCGTGACTCATCTTCTTTCATATTCTGTCTCCCTCATTAGCGCAACACGCAGACGAGCACACGAGCTGCACCTCACAGGCAAAGGCCTCTCTCTCCTCTAAGCTGTCTGAAACAAAACCAGGAGCGCCATAGAGGACGGGCGCACCGGAGTTTTGCCGCTGCACTGACTTGCCCACCTCTGTCCCCCCGCCGTGCCGCGGCACCCCGGACACACACCAGCTAACCCGCACACCCGTCCCACATCCCAGCGCCTGGCTGGGGCTGGAAGGCGTTCCTCATCGGCCTGCTGGCTTCCTCCTCCGGCTGCCGGCTACTCCCTGTCTCCCTTTTGTTTCCCAGTACTTTTATCCCCAGTAATGGCTAGTTCAGACTTTCACAAGATGGAGCAGGTTTTGAAGAGAGAAAAAGGTTTTGAAATGCCGAGAGCTCGTACTGAGTTGCCTCCCTTCCTTCCCCCCAGAATCTTAGTGTCTCCCCCAGTTTCTCCTCCCTGTGAACACTCCACCCCCTGGCTCACACAACAGTTCCATTAAGCACAACCAGCAGAGCCCCACAAAGCAGCCTCTGCTGTGCACGGCTTTGAAATCGTTATGTGCTTCTCGGTAAGCAGAAAGGAAAGTTTAAGGAGTTTAAGAGCCCGGTTTTGCTGCCGATACGTACCTCGCTCTTCTCGGCGCTCTGCGGGGAGCGAGGAGGGCAGAGCTGACGCCTTCCTGCTGCCGTTACTATGCAACCTCTGCTGTTGTACACATGGTGCCTGCTAGAGGGAGAACAGTTTTGGGCTGTGATCTCTTTTTTCCTCCCAGGGCAGCATTTCTGGGGCTCACGGAGCTGCGCACCATACGCGGTTGTACCTGGCTTAGGGACAATGCAAATATTGCAGAAAACCTGGTGATGGTTAAAGGCAACTATAACTTTGTACCCCTGATCACATAGCCACTTGCCAGGGTTTAGCCCAGAGCAAGGGAGTAGTTGCCATTGAAGGATCTATCAAAAAATGAGGCCACCACAGTGTTGGATGTGGATGCTGCAGTTTGCATAGTTTCTCCATTCATCACACAAGCCGTGTCCTGCCTGGACAGGGAGTGATGCTGAGCAATTACTGCCTTCTGCCACCTCACCTGGGGGTTAATCCCCCTGCCCCCTGCAGGGGCTAGGGCATGGGCAGCATCTGCTCCTGCACAAGCTGGATGCTCACGTGGCCTGGAAGGGTTCCCAAGGCACAGTCTTGGTCATGCCTCCCTAAAACTGCCTCTTGGCAGCAAGCAGGGGCTCAAGTCCTGCACCTTCTTCTCCCAAACTCCCTATGGCTCTTCTTCTCCCCAAGGATTACCATGCATCCGTCAAGATGCGTCACACACTAATTGCAGGTCACAGTAACCCACTTTCTCCACCTATCCTCAACGATGGAAAGATTAATTCATGTTTCTATATGCTGCAAATGAGCTAGAGACAAAAGACCAGCTAAGATTTTTTCCTCTCACAACTGCTGACCGGCAGCTCCCCTGTACTCCATGGGGAGCACTGGAGGTTGTCACTCCTGTTGCTTTTATTACCCTTCCTTTGAAGGAGTTGGGAAAAGACTACCAGAAGAGCCCAAAGAGCTGAAACCCACCTTCTTTAGTGCCCAGAAGAGAGCTGAATGCCAGAGGGTGCACCTTTTCACTATTACCTCCCAGGAAACACAGGGTTGTCCACACAAAGGGGTGGCAACAACAGTGCTTGTGCCCCTTGGTCTGACCTGAAACCTGCTGAACCCCAACTATGAGCCTGCGGATGGCACAAGCCTGGTGCTTGCCAGGATGCTCCCTGTCAGGCAGTTAGGTGGAGTGCTGTGGCTGGTGAAGGATGTCTCTGCCCTTCTTGCTGTGGTGGTGAAAAACTAAGTTTACAAGCCAGGCAGCCATGCCAAGATGTCATCAGCTTCTACCTCCCTGTTGTCTCTTTGGCTGCCCTCACTGTGGGACAACAAAAAGCATCTCAGGAAAAGTCTATTGCCCTTCACCAGCAAGCAGTACCAGGCTGTCCTACTCACAGAGACTCACGCAGGTCCAGAGGAAACTATGCAGAGTGGGGCTGAGAAAGGCAACAGCAAACACAGGTGAGAAATAATGTGCATGTCTTTCCACAGAAACAGTGAAAGACTCCTGGCATTGAAGGTATGTCCATTTGTGCATTTGCACAGACTCAGGTCTGACTCCCCGAGGAGTCTGACAGTGACATCTGCCCTGTGTTCCCTTCTTTTTTATCACCATTACTCCATGTCCTTTTTGAGCTCACTCACATTTATCTCTCAGTTTTTTAGGGCCTCCCCCTCCTTTGGCCTTTGTAGCAGGGAGGGAGTGCATGGTGTGGCCCACCTCTTGCCTGCAACTTGTGGGCATGGCTGGCATGGACCCAGCAAGGGGAGATCTTGTGTCCTGGGATCTGGGGAAGCTGAGGTGTGTTTCTGCATTTAAGATGGTTTCATTTTAAACCTAAGTTTATGCACATAGCCCTAGAGCAAACTTACAAGAGGATACTTAAATTAATCTCATCAGCATAAGTGGAAAGCTTTGCCTTTTCCCCCCTCTAGCAGTTTCCCATTGTGTCCTCTCTGCTCTCATGATGCCTCTGTGCATGTAATTTATTGCAGTTAAAGACAATAAGGCTCTGAGGGTAGTGACAGATCTTTTGCTAACTTGACCATGCAACTTGCTAACCTACCAGCAAGTTCATTACCTGAGTTCAGCCATGGGGATCAAAGCAGTAAGACTTCAGCATGTGCCCAAGTCCATTTGGTGTACTGACAGCCTTGCTTTAACTCCTACTTGATCCATTGCTGGAAGTAATTTGTTCCTTGAGCGTGTGTGTGACTTGAAGTAAGGCTTTGTAGGTGGAGGAAATGCAAAACTAGGGTCATTCCTGAAGAGCCAGTGAACTGATAAAAGCAGTGGGGAGCAAAAGCATCTGCGAGGCAAAGTGGAGAACCCAACACTATGGCTCAAGTGATGCCTTGGGAGCAAAATAAAAGAGAGGTCAGTAAAAAGATGCTGGCAGCATGTCTCAGAGCTGCGAGGTGGCTGAGCATGCTTTGAGCCCCTTGGCAAATACAGGCAAATGCTCATCCTGACTTGCATGTGTGCATGCACACATACGGATGCTCCATACTGTGCTAGTTCATTATAGATTCCCAAAAGAAAAGGAGGAATTTTTAGCTGTTTTGATGTGGTCATCTTGTTCTTGTAAAAGAAAAGCTGGTCTCTTTGTTTCATGCTGGTTTTAATTTTAAAGGAAGTGGGAATCATTATAATGAAATAATACTGTGAGTACATGCGTAGTATTTTATCCCTGGGTATACAGGCTTTCACCATGGGTCTAGTGAAAAACGGGCCCCAAGAAAATGGGGCTTTCCAGGCGTGTTCATTAATCACTGTACTGCATAGACCTGCAAAAAAAGTAAGGGGGTGGGGGTGTGTGGTGGGATTTTTCGCCTGACCCTGCTTTCCTTCTGCATCTTCTGCCTCAACCCGTGGCAGTTGTTGCCAGCCAGTCTGCAGAGGGCGATGCAGCATCAGTCTGACCAGACTTGGGATACTTCTTTAGCTTTCCACCATCCCGAGGTTGCCCATGGTCACCAACATATTGCAGAGGTCGAGGGTCGAGATGAGGCCAAAGCTGGAGGGAAAAATGAAAGGACCAGACCATAGACACAAATTTATTTCACAATACAGTCTTTTCATGCTGCCTGCATAGCAGCTGTTGAAATAGGAGACTGTGATCTGTGATGGATTTCACTTTCCTGTTAAATCCTGCTGCACAGGAAGACTCGAATTGTTTGTTGAAGCTTTGAAGACCATTGTAGTGACAGCTTGTTATTTTATGAGTTTGTCTGGGACTCAGAAGCCTGAGAGCAAATCTGCTTTAAAAGGCAAGAATAGAATGTTCAGGCTAAAAATCCCCCAACAACCATACATTCATCTGTTTTTCAGACTTCAGTTTGCATGTTACCATTGGCATTTTTTGGAAAGGACTGCAACATGTCCACTGGTGGTGGAGACATGGCTCTCCGGTCTCCCTGAGGCTACCCATGAGAATTCATGGGTATTTGTGCCAAATAATCTCTTTGAAAAGCTGTTGCATCCTCCCTTCAATCCAGTTCTTCTTTAGGCTATTGGCGATTAACTTATCTAAACATTTATGCTGCCTATAAAAAAGGGCAGTGGGGGTAGAAGGACTTCAAAAGACCTGCAGGATAAACAGTAAAATAGGCAGGACTTCAGCCTCAGGTAGATATGGCTATAGATGTGCAAAAAGACCATGGCCAAATAGTGCTGCTCTGCAAAAATCTTTGCACAAGATTTATTCAGACAAAAAATGATTCCCTGGGTTTATTCTTTTCAAAGGGTGATGCAGTAATACTGAGGCTTCTTACTGTTTCTGAAGGTGTGGTTTAATGGAAAGTAGTTGCAGAAGAATTTGGTCGGTCTGGAAAACACCCACTGGATGTTTTCCACTGCCCCAGGTCCACTCTAGGAAGTCTTCTGGAATTTAAGAGCATGGGCTCTGAGCCTGATCTCTTCTCTTGTCAGCCACCCTAGGGCTCATGTGTATGCTCTGCAGAGAGGTGAGCCTGCCCCAGGCCCACTGCAAACATCTGGTGATGGGAATGATTTGCAGTTTACCCAGGTGTAGGATTGGATCTATGAGCATCTTGAAAGCTGAATTCCACTCTTTGCTGCTGACATATCTCAGAAAGATCATTTTCTCATGTATGTAACCAGAGAAAGTGCGCAGAATTGTTTTCCACCTTTGGTTTCCAGTTCAGCTTGTGACCGGGATGGAAATGCCAACTGAGTGTATTCCTATGGGGTTGGTTTTTTTTTTTCCCATGATATGTCTTCAGTTTTTAAACCACTCTCTTTTTTCTTTATTTTTTTTTTCTTTTTCGCTCATAATAGAATAATAGCAACATGTAAGAATTTGAATATTTGGCTCAACTTTACACGTCGATAAATTCACTGGGCAAAATCTTGCCAGTTTTTTTACTAACTGACATGTATATCAATGCCTTCTTGAGGTATTTTGATTCCTTCTCAAATTTACTAATGAGTTTTGAGTCTATCAAAAGCTTCCAAGAGAGGGGATCCCTGGGGCTCTCCTGCTCCTCTACGAGTTAAGCAGGTGAGGGCTGGGGCCGAAGCTGCCATAAGAAGCGCTGGAGGGAGCGGATGTTGCACCCTATTGCTGCCCTTGTCCAATACTAAATGAGAAAGCGAAAGGGCCTCCTGTAATGCTGCACTTTCAGCAGACAGCACTCTCTTTGCCTTAACCACGGGTTAAGCAAACGTATCCTTCGGAATTTTAAGGAAGCAAATAACTTAAGAAATCTTTTAGACAAAGGCAAAACGCGTCAACAGTAAAGGTAGAAGTTTTTACAAAACGTATTAAGAAAAAAAAAAAAAAGCTCTGGAGAATGCGGGCATCGATCCCGCTACCTCTCGCATGCTAAGCGAGCGCTCTACCATTTGAGCTAATTCCCCTCTGCGGGGTTGCTCTTTGCA